ATTCCATGACGCGTGAATTTTACCGCTGTTATGATTTGGACCTGTTATGGCCCAGAACGCTTGGATAAGTTTGCTTAACTTTGACAACCTAAAGCCCACATATTAAGCCCATTAAAGTTCCAAGACAGGCCTATCTTACTTCCACGTTTGAATTTTAGAAGACGCGTAGGAGAACCATCGTTTAAAACTTAGATGGCGGGTTGATTCTGGTTCTAGAGTTTGTGGGAAAATGGTTTAAACAGTGTTTCTTAAAAATTTAATTTTTTTTTATCTAAAATTAACTATTTTTTAATATCTTAGATTATTTTAATATATTGATATTAAAAATAACTTTTTAAAAATAAAAAATATAATTTTAATATATTTCTAAATAAAAATATCATAACCACTGTTACATTTCTAAATACACCACACCACTAAATTAATATGTATTTAATTAAAAAAATTAATTAATTTAATAAAAAATTCTAATGGATTGAATTATCATTGATCTATTAACAATTTTTTAAAAATATATTTTTAAATAATATTATTTTATTTTTATTTTTTTATAAATAAACTCAGTTTAACTCAAATTAAATTTAAAATGATTTATTTAAAACTTGACGAGGGAGTGATTCAGTCTCAAAACAAATCTTAATACCTCTGGTGTTGAAAAAATATACATCTTTTCTTGATAATTTTGATTTTGGTTACATCTAAGCATATGAAAACCTTATGATAAACAAATTAATTATTATTAATTACCAGAAACTCTTTAAAAAGTGTTGGAATTCCACTGTGTCTGCAATGTGGACATGCACAGTGGATTTTCGCGCCTTTTGAAAACCACTTTGATGTTCCTGTGGGCTTAGAAAGGCTTTGGATTTTCACGCCTTTTGAAGGCTACTTTTCTGTTCCTGCGGGCTTAGAATAAAAGAGTTGAAGAAACAGACCAAGAGACCATGTGTTTGGTAATATAATAATAGTTATTTTTTAAATAATTTTTTATATTAAAATATATATTAATAATTTTTTATTATTTTTTAAAAATTATTTTTAATATTAATATTCAAAATATATAAATTATATTAAATTTTAATAAAAATAAAAAATAAAAAAAATTTAAATTTTTTAAAAATAAAAATTCAACCACATTTCCAAACACTGTTTAAATCTGCACACTCCATTTCTGTCTTGGAACTCGCGGCTTAGGCATGGGAGAGAGTTATCAAATTAGGGATTTTTTAAAAAAATATTACAATAACATAGAAAATTTAAAGAATAACACTTTTTAAGGAGAATTTAATAAAAAAATATTTTTACCGCACTTCTAAAATATAATATGCACTAAATGTACACCATAAGACAAAATATAGCTGTTAAAAAGTACTGACATGTTATGGAAAATAAATACAAGAACTTAGCCTTCTCCTCCTTGTCATCAGTCTCAAATGTGTTCAAATTATAAGCAAGGGTGGCGTTTTAATTTTACATTCTTGCTTGCAAAAATAAAAAGAAAATTAATTTGTTGCTGAAAATAAATAATCTTAGAAAAGATGGGTAGCTAAAAACTTGAATCCCCATTATTTTTTTCCCTCTTCTTTTCTTAGCACAACTCTTATATATAATTTTGAAATTCCTCGTAACTAGCAAATTCAAAGTTAAAAATAAAAACTCAAAATAACTCCATTGATCTAGTGGATTAAGTTAATAACTCGGCAAAACTCAATTAAAAATTTAATTGTAATTCATTAATTTTTATTATTTTTTATTAAAATAATATTATTTTAATTTTTAAAAACATTAAAATTAACTTGAGCAACCTAGTTAAAACTCAGTTCTTGTGCCGAATTGGCCACCAAATCGGATTTAAAAACTCTGCTGACGACATTCTTGCTCAAATCTGTCTTTGACTCAGCCCGCATGCAAGTTTGGGTGAGAAGTAATATAAACCTTTTAAAAATAAAGTTTTGCTTTTTCATGAATCATTACTAGGAAAAAGGATTTAATTGAATCTGGATTGCTTGCTTGCTTATGAGAGGATAAGTTGTTCCCATAGAGAAGGCTGGTACAATAATTTAAATATTGATATTGTAGTTTAAATCAACCGTGAATTAGTTAAATATTAAATTTAATTGATATTGCGGCAACTGCAGCTTAATTAAATGTTAATATTGTTGAAATCTTATATTTCTGAACATAATATTATTTAAATATTATATTTCTAAACTATGACATCCTTAAATTATTTTATTTCATCGAATCTTTTTTTTTTTCAGATTTTATTTCGCTTTTTATTTATATTTTGTATGTCAGTTGCCCAATTTACCCCAAAATTGTCGTTCCTGGAGGCTTAAAAAAGAGGGCTCGTCGTCATCATGATATATGTCAGTAAATGCTTTGCCAACTTGGTTGTGTCTTTGATCTTTCTCTGGCATTCAGAGAGTGTTAAGATATTGCCACTTATGTGGCAGCATTTGCCGGAGAGTGTTAAGATATTGCCAATTATGTGGCAGCATTTGCAATCGATCTTCTAGAAACAATGACCGCCATTGCCATTGTCAAATAGGGCTACAAGTTGGAGTTGATGGCCACCATTGTTGACAAAAGAGCAAGAGGAGGGTGGCCATCATTGTTGACAAAAGAGCAAGAGGAGCTACCATGGATGCCTATGAATAGAGGCATACGTGAGAGAGCAAAATGCCATGGATGCCTATGAATAGAGGCATACATGAGAGAGCAAAATGAAATAGAGAGGTAGTAGAGCCAAAGAGGTGAGAAATGTAGGAGAGAGTGTGCTGCCAAGGGTAGCAAGCAGTAGCTGCCATTGCAGCACTGTAAGGAGAGAAAAGAGTGAGGTTGTGAGTTAAAAGAGTGGATGATTCCTCCTCGTCTATTGTTGTAAATCTTGTTCTCTCTATATATAATAAAATGGCTTCTCTTGTGGATGTAGGCGGTTTGTCGAACCACGTTAAATATTGTGTCAGTGTATTTAGTCTCTAATAGGCAAATATCAGAACATCACTGGTTGGAATCCCCTACAGAGAGGTGGTGCAAAATTTGGCAGGATTGGAAATTTGGTTTTATCCGGATGATCTGTCACTCATTTTGCGCTGAAGGTGGTTGATTCGAAAAGAGATGGTTGGTTGTGGCCTTCTATTTTGGTTTGTTTGTAATTTTTTGGCCTTCCTTGGATTTTTTTCCCCTCGGAAAAAAGAGAGGCACGTCAACACCATCAGCATTGAAAAGGCAGATAAGAATGGCAATTGGTGGAACGTAATTTCAAAATCTCTTTTGTATAATCCATCCAATTTTAGCACACATTACTATACACAAAAAAAGAATCACCATAAAATACAGAACACCATTAGCATTCAGCTTTGCATGATCATCCAAATCTCCCTCCAAACTCATGCAGCTCAACTCTTGCTTCGGCTTCTTTATGCTTACCTGCAAGTTATTGAAAAGCTCTGTAAGTAACGTGATTCTATCATTAACAGTCCAGGGGCAACACAAATAAGTATAATTCAAAACCCATTTTCATTATAAACAACAAATTGATGGCGAGTTTTCAAGGAAACGTGGATCTTATAAACATGCCAGACTCAATGAATTTGGACTTGACAAACAACCAAACTTAAGATAAGATGAGTTTGAAAAAAATGTCAAATTCAAGAAACTTTGACTTAAAATTCATCCAAGTCCAAGACAACGTGAGTTTGATAAATACGTCAGACCCAAAGTATTTGGGCTTGACGGTTAACTAAATCCAAGGTAACGTGAATTTGACAAGCATGCTAGACCGAAAGAACTTAGACATTTCTAAGTTCTAAGGCTATAGATTTGAGCTCGAACGATCCTTTACAATAAAAGTATTAAAAATATGATAAATCATCATGTCTATACTCATAGATATATACAAAGTCTTTTAAGGAACCTATTATATGTACTATTTCATTAATGATATATAATAAATATTTATCTCGTATTGATATTGTTGGATACAAAGAACTTTATAGTCTTTTCTCTCTCTGAAAATAACAAGGTTTAAGAGATTTATTACTGATATATAATAAATATTTATCTCGTATTAATATTATTGGATACAGAGAACTTTATAGTCTTTTCCCTCTCTGAAAATAACAAGGTTTAAGAGATATAAATACTCTTTAAACGATTCACGTAAAAGGTTAGAACTTTTTATCTCTTAAGATATGGATATATAGATTTCATAGTATTAACTAACTAAAAACTAAAATAATATATTTTTATTTATTGAATTTAAAACTCTTTTAAATCATTTAATACATTTCTTATAAATATATTAATTTTATCATTGAAAGGTTTTTTCTTATTAGAACTATTTTTATAGGTATTTAAACTTCTACTATAAACCTGAAATTTTTTATATTAAAAAAAATTCAAGTGTTTGAATTAACCACTATCCCAAATACAGAATAATTGTTATTTTCATATCTTGGATTTTGATAAATCATCACATTTAGTTCTATAAATACAACTGTTCTGTAGTTCTATAAATGCGACTGTTCTGTCTTTGCCACTGTGATTAATGGGGTATTTGCAGCTAGTCCTTCCTCTCTCTCAAATTTTCGGTTAACTCTGATCTCCCCCTTCTCTGTATATTTGTTTCTTGTTTTGTGATGCTTGATCTAAAATATTGCTCATTCTTTAAGATAAACTCTTCACGACCATTTTTCCTTGGCTTTTTTAAGAACTATGGATATACAGGTTACATAAAAATTATTTCATGTAGGTGTTGTGGTGATCAGGATTCAGGAATCAAGAGAGAATGTCAAGAAATCACATTTCAAAGAGGATAATAAAATGAAATGGTGAATTTGCTATCACTAAAAATTGCAAATACCAGGACAAAATGAGATCGAACTTCCTCAGGAGGTGATCAACTAAAACTGGAAAGAATCAAAGAAATGAAAAAAATCCAAGCAAACAATAATTCAAGTTCCTGACGAACTTCAATCACCATTGACTATGGCTCATCAAGCTTTCAAATTGTCCATTCCAACACTAGCCTGCAGCAAGTCCGAAATCGCGTATCAGCGCAAACACAGAAGGACCACGGGATGCTTAATGCAAGTCCAGTCAAACTTCAAACGTTAAAACCAATAATTTATTTGCTAAAATATCTTACGGGGAACTTGTGATTCTCTTCCAACAAAGGTGAGAACCTTCCACAGAAGTCTTCCATGTCAGAAACATCATCTCCTTTGACACCCACTACACTCATAAACTTCTTCCTATCCGGAGCCAACTTCAAGGCAACCTGCATTCCAGTTGATTGGATTTCAATAACAATGAAAACCAGTAGTGAAATGTACAATGCATTAAGATTTGGTGCAGTTATATCTTATTTCAAGAAAATGTAAAACAAAATAGAGAACATTTTCACTAGAAATTTCTTTCACAAAAGTTCTACAGTTGCGTATGCATTTTTAGATGCAATAAAAGAAGAAGAAAGCATGCAACTTATGCCAATAGAACCATATATCAAAAATCAAGAACATTGATGCTACAAGTGTTTACGCTAAAACTTGAACTAGCCAGCCAGCCAGCCATGCCATTTTTTCAGGGACTTCTCGTATGAATCAGTGCAGACTTGTGACATGCTCCAGTCCGGATGCACCATTAAGTTGCGGAACACTTCTGACAAGAAATCCATGGCCCTATAGAAGTCAAACATATACTGTCTCAAACATGAAACATAAGAAATTGTACACTCTTGTCTGACACAAAACGGTAATTTTTCCAAATAAAATACGGTGTTAGTGCTAACCTTGTCAGCCAAAGTAAAGCATTTGTGCAACTGGATGAAGATTTAGCCTTTTTCGATTCAATTTCTGACTGTACTATCCTGTACAAGTAATTGAATTCTGATTGATTGGACAAATACCTAGTCTCCAGCCTCTGCAACAAGAAAAAGAAGAGTAAAGAATGTCATATTGATCAGTTTCTTCTGCAGAAAATAGCTATTGACACAGAAAAAGCATTTACAGCAGCTGCATAGAAAAGGGATCATATTACCGATATATTACCACCAATGTCAGATTTTACAGGTCCCATGGCTGGTCCAAAGTTTTCTGCAAGCATATAAGCAATCATTACTGGCCAAAGAGATCAATTTTGTGTATCTCCATGAAATAAACCGAAACTGTAACACCAGCAAATGCTGATGAGCAAATTTGTATGTTCCCAGTCATCCGGAAATCAAGGAGGAAAACAAAATTTCTTTTCAAATATTCATGACTGAAAGAGAAAGTCATTAAAGAAGTAACGCATAACAATGAAGCAATATATTTTACATGTTCTTTAGTTTCAAGCATGAAAGAAATTGTGCAGGCATGAGTGCAAAATCAACAAGTCTCTAACAAAATAGCAGTAACTAAGATGTACCTAAAACAGGCACTACTGTTTTGCACAAATCCAAGAAAGGCTTGGCAAGAATTTCTCCCTCGGGAGACTTGACATGGTCCATCTTTTCCAAAGCTGCAGCAAACACATTTCCCTCCATTCTTCCGCTATACTTGTTAGCTGCATACCAAGTTGCTTATTAGCCCTAGCTCGATAGAACTAAGGTATATATGCAAGTGTAAAGATTCATGAACTTGATAGGCATTGACTACATGCAGTTATCGCACAAGCTACAATCTAAAAGAGAAAGAAAGGAAAAGGGTATATTAATTTCGTTTCTTCTAACAACGACAAAGGGATTATTTAGCAAATTTCACCACGCAAATCTCATCCTTCTTCATTTTAGTTGGAAAACTATGCTTAAGCTCTAACTCACCATGATCTCTCCCAGCAAAAGAAGAGGGGCACCACTAGACTGCAGGATCCTGTGTTTGATTTTTGGCTTGCAAATACACCATTGAAAAATGAAAAAAATTCTTAACAGAATTGATTGATTATGAAAGATTATGTGATGGAATGATGTAAATATATATATTAATGGTCTCAAACATGAAAAAGAGGAACTGATTAATGCTCCGTAATATAGTACTAAACACAAATTAATCACCTGTGAATATGAGATGCCGAGGTCAGAATCTGTGCGAAAATGGAAGATAGAAATACCGTTATTTCAGTTGTCAATGTGAGATCGATTGAAACCACGGCGTTCGAGAGCTACTTAGCCACATAGTTTAATGAGAAAACAAAAACTAATTCCCTAGTTTACGGGAGTATGGAACTGTTTGCCGTAATTTATTTTATTTTTTCATTTGACTCAGTTTTGATCGATCAATTCAAAATCATTTTGACTTTGTGGCCAATGTGATTTTAAATGACTGACATGATAGTTAAAAAAACATGCTTTACTCTATGACTTCGAACCTCGGACACAACATCGCAAGAATTTATTAAATCCCTCTTAATACAGCGATGTAGAATATACGTATTTAAAATTATTCGGAAACCATTCCGAAAAGAAAATCGATCTTGATTGATGCGTAAACGAGCATGAGAATGCTCCCTATCATCAAGCAAAAATCATTTATTATTACTTTTATTCGGTATAAGTACAAAACTCAAAACCATGTATCTGGCTGAACGGCTGTTATCCATACTAATTTTGTGCTAAAGAGTACCTAAACCAGCAAAAAATAAAGCTCTCCTTTTGTTTTCTTTTGGCCATTGTCTTCTCTGTACATTTACGTAAGTTTTTAAACACATAGCATGCAGACATAAGTAATGTTAGCAACGTTATTAAGCACAGACGGCTGGACCTCGTATTGACGATGCCATCAGAAATGCTGTGGGCATAGCGTAGATAGGATGCTACGCCATATTACGAAGTATAAAGCATCATTATACATAAAAATGTGCTGTGGCTTCTATTGCTGAAGATCCATTTCTTACCGAGATGCTATAGACATCATAATGACTTCAATTTACCGAAGGAAAAAAAAATGAAAGAGACATTTACCGAAAAGAAAATGACTAAATCGGAGTGGGAGGGAGGTCGAGTCGCGACAACTAAAGAGAATCTGTTCATCTAATGTAAGGAGGCTATTATTTTTATAGCTTTTTTTTTACTATTATCAAAAAACAAAAAAAACTAAAGAGAATCTGCAAAACATATTTTGAATCGTCGGCAAATTACATAAGGCGCCGAAGCTGCCAAGAATCCGAGAGCAAAATTGGTTTAAACATAAAAGTTATCCACCCCAGCCATTCATGCGATGCCCATCTACACCCCGTAAAAGGCAACCCAAGCTGCTCTTCTCAGATTTCCCAATGATGTACCATCCTGTTATCGTCTTATACTAGAATCGTAGTTGATAAACGCAGCCTAGCTCTAGCTGGATAGATTGGTTCGAAAAACTTGGATTCAAAACTCAATATAGATTTAATTTTTAATTAAATTGAATAAAATATTATTCTAATAAAATCTGATAGGATAGATTTCAAGTAATCTAGCTGGTCATACCCTATATAAATTTTCTCAAGTCAATATCAATAAATTAAAAAAAATTTATTTAAATAAGAAAACAACCCAATTATCCAAATTCCTTTTCGAGTCGAATCATCGTTCTCCAAAGATTCCTCACACAATGTTTCTAATTCCATTAACCTTAAGTGCTCAAATCGATGGTCCTATTTACAAAGTTCTCCCATAAAGCGGGGCAACTATAGAATTTATGAAACGATTGGCTGAAAAGCGAAAACACCCAAAATTGAAAACATCATAACTTATATAAGCCATATATAAGAAAAAAAGAAAAGAAAAGACGCCACAGAAAATAGTTGAAAGTTTCGAAGTGATAGCCAATAGTAAAAAGACACGTGCAAAGATCCAATAACCCACCCGAGCGCACCACAACCAAAACGAAAAACCCTAGCAGCAGGTCTTCTAGTATTTCATAACCTCGGTGCTCACAGCCTTCTCCTCTCCCTCAGCAGTCGCCTCTCTCCGTCGAGTTTTTGCAGATCTGCGAAAAATGGTGAGATGGTTTTTTCATCTCCTCTGTTTTTCTTCCGAGAAAATCCGTTGCTCTATAACTTGATTCGTTTTTCTTAGACTTACCCTATTTTGTGTTTTTTTTTCTTTCATGTGTAGCCGTTCAAGAGGTACGTCGAGATTGGGAGAGTGGCTCTTGTCAACTACGGCAAGGATTACGGCAAGCTCGTCGTTATTGTCGATGTCATCGATCAAAACAGGGTGGGCTTTTCTTCTCTGTTTCCCTACCTTTCCCTTGAATGTATGTAGATAAAGCTTATTGTTTCTTTATCAACACTTGATGATAACTAAGGATGTTTTGAATACTTTATAAGCAATAATTTAGTGTATTGGATGTTCATATGGTTGTGTTAGTCTGAAAGTATTTTTTAACTTTTTAAAAGGTTTAATTATTTTGGGCTAGTAGAGTGAGAGCATTTGTTTTTTAAAAAAGAAATAATAATAATTGCTTAGCATTTGTTTGCATTTTATAATCTGTTTTGATGATAAGTCTTAGTTATGTTGGCTGATGGAAGGATGAAAGCTTAAAGATTTGTGACTTTTGACGCTGTTATAGGCTCTGGTTGATGCCCCAGATATGGTTAGGAGCCAAATGAACTTCAAGAGGCTTTCGCTTACTGATATCAAGATTGAGATCAACAGGGTTCCTAAGAAGAAGGCACTAATTGAAGCCATGGAGAAGGCTGGTGGGTTACCGATTGTTTATTCCTGCCCTTGTTTAATTTGCTTCTTTTTTTTCTCCACCGAATTTAAACTGTTTTTCTTTGATGGCAGATGTGAAGAACAAATGGGAGAACAGTTCATGGGGCAGGAGGCTCACTGTGCAGAAGAGAAGGGCATCACTTAATGATTTTGATAGGTTCAAGCTCATGTTGGCAAAGATCAAGGTTCGCAATTCTCCATCTTGTCTTTTCTAATATTCATTGTACTGCGTTTAATTTATGGTCAAGCACCTCTGCTTTAGATGTTGAATTCTCCCCTTCTTTACATTCAAACCTAAGTCTATACTAGCACTATATGATGTCTTTCTGGTATCACTTCTCCAATAGGGCTTTGGAGCTTTGGCAAAACAATATGATTTCTTCCTGGTATCTCTTTCTGAGTAGGGCAATGGAGCCCTGGCAGAAATTGACCCCATCCTTTTAGGGCTGTAGAAGTACCAACTTTCAGCTTTGAATGAGAGCATATAACTTGATTTATCCAAACACTATATGACCATTGCAGTCGAAAAGTACTAGACTTCAAACTGCTTACTTTTTATATTTTGTACTCATCATCGCCTTGCTTATGAGGGTTAAATCAGCCCCTAGAACATGCGTATGGAAGTAATGCTCAATCATATATTTTATACATGTGTCAAGAAGTTTGATCGATTTAAAAGGGTACTGCATTGGTTTTGTTGAACCTTCCTACAAATATGTTCACAAGCTTGATGCATGTTATCAATGTGCATTCTGCAGAAGGCAGGAATCGTCAGGCAGGAGCTTGCAAGACTCAAAAAGGAAGCAGCTTAAGATTTGTTCACTTCTGAGCTTTTCATTATTTTGCAAGTTCAAACTTCGCTTCAGTTTTAGCACTTTGGGTTTTCCTTTCTGGCTTTTTATCAATTTCCTAGTTAGTGGGAGAAACCAATTGTTATGGATCTTGTTATGAAAGAACATTAATGATTTTTCTAGACGTCCTATTTTTCCTGGTTATGAGTTGTTGTTCTGGGTCCTTTTGGTGGGTTTCTCTGATGCTATGCCTGTCAGGAAGTCATCTTTCCTAGACCTCCGTGCGATTTCAATGTGGAGTAGATGAGTGGATAAAATAAATGAGGATTGATCAGAGAGTTACTTTTGCCATTAATTGGATATTTTAGCAAGAATAAGTCGTATATTTTATCTAGGAGAAGGTATCTGCTCTTATCCGGACTTACAACTTGTTTGAAACTAGTTGTATTCTAGAATTGATTTGAACTAATTATTCAATTTGATTTGCTAATTCAATTTTGTTCTCTTTGGAATAGGTTTAAAATTGTGGAATTCATTTGATTTGAGAGTTTAGAGAAAATATTTTATATATCTTACTTGACAACTTATTCCAAGCATACACGAGAAAGAAGAGTGTTAAGTGGAATTAATTTTTAATTGGTCCAACTCTAAAGCAATTTATATTCATTTCAATGTGGTTTACAAATCTATAAAAACCTTTGATTTTAATTGGTTGTTGAATTCCTTAATGTTATTTAAAGCTTTTTAAACACCACGAGTTGAGTAAGAGTAATAGTATACTTCTACATAAATCAGTTGTCTTCGAAGGGCATGTTGATATGGAGGTATTGAGTAAGAGTAATAGTATGTCTTCGAAGGGCATGTTGATATGGAGGAGACGGCAGGCCTGGTGGCTACCACCCACATGCGGGGCCAGAGACTGCACTAGCATTTTCTGAGAGGGTTCCAATAAGCACCTTCATCTGGTTGTTAACGGTCCCGCCCTAGTTTCATTAATGACCTGGACAGACTAACTGCAGGTGCTTACTAATTAAAACTTGCTGCCAGCAGGTGGCAGAACATTCAACAGTTGCCAGATTATGAACATCACAACATAGGCAGCCCTTGGCATTGTAAACAATTTTTTTGCTTCCAGAGAACAGTAATGAACAAGAATGCTCTTTGTTTCAGAGCTACGGGTGGGCTTATATATTTGCACACCTCCCACCCACCCACCCGCCCAAAAACTGCTAAAACACGGTGGACAACCTACTCTCTCAACGGAATTTTTGTGTCCCTCTTCACGAATCCAATTAAAGAACATATTACGAGTGCCAAACAGAAAAGAGAGTGGACCGACGAGAGCATCTGACCAACAAAATATACCGTTACAAGCTTACAAGACAAGCGTACCAGCTGCCTTTCCATAAATAACAGAAGCTCGAGAAAAATCATCCAGAAATGGAGCTGCTTCCCTGGAAGCAAAATAGCCACCAAACAGCAATCATATGAACTTTTGTTACCTGGGTGATGAATAATCACCGCATGACAGTCATCTCTCCCACCCAATAAAGCATCTGGCATTCCTGGAAATCACTGTAGAACTCGGGGGTGAATGTTGACGTTATTGCACAAAGGCAGCTATGTTGCCGGTTGGAGCATGTCAAAACAACAGAACAGATTTTGATGAGTTCCGCTGAGGAGTATTACGTCCAAGTAATAAATTTTCATTCCGTACCCAAAGAAGCAACAAGAGATATTGTGGGTAACTGCAAACACGCAAAGGACTAGAAATATTGAGTTCAACATATGAATAATCTAAAAAAAGGAATGTTGGAATATTTCTTAAATCCAAAAAATATAAATTTCTGTAAACATCGTTCATCACCAACAAATTAGCAAGGAAAGACATTTATTGGCAGAAATAAAAAAGATAACAAACATCTGAGATATATTTGGTAGTAGGTAGATTAACGGGTGAAATAAACAATTCCAACAACAAAAAAAAGCAGCAAATTCCTCAAAAGAAGCCTAGGGCCTCTGCTGACATTTTAATGATTCTCCCTTTACAATATGGGAAGTTCAAAATTCTTATTGGAAAGTCAGAACTACCATTTGTTTTTTGAAATTTGAAAATGATAGAATTTCAGGCAAAGTATAAAACTCAACTGAAATAAAGGCACTGCAAAATTTTACATATCTCTCTTTTGAGGGAAGTCAACCTCATTCCTAACACAACCTTACCTCAGTAACCTAAAAAGGAGCCTCAAATGATTCATCCCAAACTTCTGCACTTCCATTTGAGACATCTTCAACATCTTCTTCCATTGAAAGCCTGATATATTCTCTATGTGCAAAGCGATCCCCCCCTGTTAAAGTTGGCTCCTCACGCTCCTGCCCACACCAAAAAATGCCAATTAGGCCGTTATGATCCGTGAACATATGATAATGAAACCAGCATCATTGGATCCTCAATATATTATTATATAAAAGCTAAAAAGCAAGGGAGCAATATTAAAATGCTGAATGTACCTGGCGAATGAGAAAGGGATCACGGCTTTCAAAAGCTACAAACTTATTGAGGTTGAAAAGGATATTGAAAACATTTCCTGAAAGTTTGCATCCTTTCAAGTCACGCAGTGTGATATAATCTTCCCTCTGCAACAAAAAAGTGTCAAAGGAAATGTAAGCTAACACAAAAGGACAAGGATTCCAAGATATCCAAAGAAACACGTATTTACCTCTGGTGCAATCATGTCAACTATTTGACACAAGATATCCTCAAATAGCACAGGTTCCTGGGCCATGCATTCTATTCGGTGAAGCTGCTCCTCATAGAAGTATTGCAATTCATTGGGTGTCAACACACCATTTCCATCTAAATCCAAGCACTTGAACCTGCAAATAAAACTAAACAAGATAAGAGAGGACAGCCAATACAAACATAGATGACTTCCACAGACATAGAGCATCAGAAAACAAGGTAGACCCTGACACAAGATTTAAATAGAGGAAGCTTTCAATACACTTGAGCATTAAGGAGAGTGGATGAGATGTAACATGGATGACTTCCATAAGCCAGTGGATGCAGCTTTTTCTAAGATAACAAGGCCACATACAAACAAGCATAGATCACTTCCACAGACACAAAGAAAAACAAATCAGGACTTGTGTGTTAGGCCTTGGTACAAGAATTGAATAGAGGAAGCTTTTCAAATCATTGGCTCGTATAGGTTGTGATTGGTTTTATGTTAAAAGGGGTTAAACCTATTTTAACCTTGTTTGGTACATTTTGAGGCAAAATTAAGGGTTTAACACTAAACCTCAAAAAGGAGGTTAAGCGTTGACCTAGGTGAAGGTGGGGGGGGGTGCTATGGGAGAATTTTTTTTGGGATTTGTGCAATTTTATTTTTTTTTCAAATTCACCCATTTGTTTGGGAGAATTGTTTTTGGGATTTGTGCAATTTTTTTTTTTTTTCAAATTCACCCATTTGTTTGATTCCCTTTTCGCTTTATGGCATAAACATGTTATATATATTTTTATTATATTTAATTTAAATATTGATTTAAAATTTATTGGATCACACATTTACACATAATTTTCACACCTATCAGAAGTCCTAAATACCTACCCTTTAACCACTTTTTTACACACTTAACACTTCATCCATTAACACCTAATCTATCAAAACTTAACCTCAATTTTTTAACTGCAAACTAAACACGAACTTAGGAGAGTGGAAGGGATGCACACTTTAGTATAGGCTTGGTCCACTTTGTTCACAGTACAAACAAGGCACCCATAAAGGATAATGATCCCCATCTTGTAGATAGAGCTCTTTACATCACTGTTTGAAGTAAGGGTTATTATCCTGGAACAAGGGCTTTTTTTTCCCACCCTCAGGTCTAAAACAAATGAGGGAAAGAGGCTGTTCTTCATCTTTGAGGGATCAGTATCATACTCGCACCTAATTCAACTATTAGAATGGAGGTGAGACGAAACACACTGCCACTTCCCTTTGTTTAAGAATCACAAGATGAGATTTAGCAGGGAAATTGGGTGGGAGATATATAAGAGCAGTTTAGCATTCTTAGATTTTAGATCGAAAAATATGTTCATGGAAATGTTTTGGCCAGCAGGAGAGGTATATAATTTTTTACTGATTGAATCACTTGACTTTTAAATTAGATTTCTGAAGAATTGAGTTAGTTGGAACTAACATTAAGCAACTCAAGCAAGATGCTTCAAGAAATATGGAAGGATACAAGTAGCAATGTTATTCAAACATCACCTAACTGAACAAAGTGTACACGTCAGAAGTTGATAATCATTTTCTCCCAGTCCTGTCCATATCATTCTTTTAAAAGCACCTACTTTTTCAATATTACGTGAATCCCAGGACAGATGTCTGTCGTCAATATGTGTCTTGTCATTTATACAAATTATTATTGTGCTAAAAGGATAAGCCTACACCCACGGCACAGAGAAATTTAGCTGGAAAATAGTTACTCAAACTATGGACATCACTCAAATTGACAATCTCCATCAAACAGATCAAGTGAAATGGCTAATTAGATCCAACTTTTTATAATTTCTTCCGAGCTTAATGCTGACTTTTGACATTTTGAACAAAAATTACCATTGTTCATCAACACAAAATAAAAGGTGTCCATCAAAAAATGCATCTCCCACAATATCTGTATCCTAATAAACAAGTCCCTAAATTTTATTTCTTTTGTTTATGTATCCATTTTGATCTGAACAGACAAACAATTATCACAAGAAAATCACCTTGTTGTCAAGTATGCAGAAACTTCACGTCCCATTTGTCATTCAAATCATTCCCAACGATGAAATGAAAGGTAAAAGTCCAAGAAAAGAAAGCAGATAATACCAGTATTCAAGGCTGGGCTCAGATGATTTGTCCTCCTCTGAGAGCATGAAGTAAACAAAATCTTCATAACACATCTTCCCTTCAACATTGCTAGTAAACTTCCTTGGCACCTACGATGAAATTAAAGCACGGACACAATATTTACTCCTCATTTAGAAGAAATGTCTCTAAAAAAGTCAAAGTTCAATTGTATCAAGCTTCAGAGAAGGAAGCAATATGACACCAACCAACCTGTGAAAAAATTCTATCAACAATCCTGTAGGTAAGGGCATGATTACCATATCTGACAAGATTCTCCTTGTCGATCAAGAAATCATGGTCTGTATCCAGCTCCCAAAACTTGCAGTATATTACATAGAAATGTTCATAAGAGAAGTACCTAAAACAAAGGGCAGCACATGGTTGTAAACTCACATATAATAATTATTAGAATCAATTCATGTAAATCCCATATGCTAGTCTTTCCATATTATCATTTATCAACCAAGAAAACGAGTCAAACACCTTAATAATAAGGACATAA